CATTAGCCTAGAATCAAATCATAGGTGGTCGAGTGGCCGAACGTATGCGCTTTTGATAATACGGTCTGTCATTGAGTCAGGTGGTACGGTTTCGATCCACTTTTCCTCCTACTGCTACACCTGAACGCAAATGAAATATTGAAATAAAATTTACCGTTAGTCCCGAGAGAGAGTGAAAAATTATATATTGATAAAATGGGGTTTAACGTCCACTCGTCACAAACTCGTCACAAAATATTTCAACAATTCTCTTGCACGTAGGGATCATTGGCAGTGACGTAGGGATCATTGGCAGTGACGTAGGGATCATTGGCAGTGACGTAGGGATCATTGGCAGTGGGAGGAAGCCGGAGAACCCAGATAAAACCACCTTATCACATTCAATGACAGACCTTGTCATTTCATCCGCACGCGTTAAGCCACTAGACCATCCAACCCCACAGCCCCGAAATACCATAGTTTGTGTTGAAATGAAATGAAATGGGGTTTAACGTCCTACTGTTCTGCTCCTATACTGGGCTTATGAAGACGGGCATACGCCATACAGTGTGCTATGAGGGAAATTTTGTCTGGACAGCGGCACTATCGCCTACTCTTATATCGAATTCCAACTGCCAGGGGATCTTTTACGTGCATTCCAATATATACACGGGACCTCGGTTTTTCGTCTCATCCGAAGGACTAGACAGCTGTCCTTGTCAGGCCCTCCGTCCTGCATCACTGACAAGGGGGAACCACACCGGAAAATCTGGACGTTTGTGTTGAGTGGGTATTAATCTACAGTTCTCTCTCAGACTGAAGTCCCCAATTCTGGTGGCGAATGATTCGGACGATATATAATATTATGCTTTACCTAATATGCACATAAATTGATTATTTAACATCTTGCAACTAAGCAAACAAAACCAAAATATCAACAGGAAATACATGAAATGACATGAAATGAATTGTCGCGAGTAATTTAAGACTCTCCTTATTTATAGAATAATTTTTCACCTAGGATATTAAAGATGCATCATGAAATGAAATGAAATGGCGTTTAACGTCCTACTGTTCTACTCCGAACAGGGCAAATGAAGACGGACATACGCCATACAGTGTGCTATGAGGGAAATGTTTGCCCAGACAGCGACGCTACAGCCTCTCTTAAATCGCATTTCAACTGCCAAGGGATCTTTTACGCGCATGCCAATGTGTACACGGGACCTCGGTTGTTCGTCCCATCCGAACGACTAGACAGCTGTCTTTGTCAGGCCCTCCATCCTGCATCACTGACAAGGGGGAAACGACGCCGGAAAATCTGAATGAACTTTCTCGGCCAATGCAGGGATCGAACACCCGACCACCAGGCTAGCGAGCCAGCGTCTTACCCACTTAGCCACGTGATCCCCCGACTGGGCTAATAAAGACGGGCATACGCCATACAGTGTGCTATGAGGGAAATTGTGCCCAGACAGCGGCACTACAGCCTCTCTTAAATCGCATTTCACTGCCAAAGGATCTTTTACGCGCATACCAATGTGTACACGTGGCCTCGGTTTTTCGTTCCATCCAAAAGACTAGACCACTTATAAGGGAGACCACGTCAGACAATCCCGATTAACTTTCTCAACCAACACCGGAAGCGAACTTGCGACCTTCAGACTAGCGAGCCAGCGTTTTATTGACTTAGCCACCGTAGCTCCAAAACAAAACAGTAGTTAATATCCCGGTTTGGTTTCAATCGATTTACAAAGAGGCCTGCCGAAAAATTTTATAGATGGCAATGGTTTTGTCTGCAGAGGATATAGTCATTATCGTCCAGACAAATAGTCTCTATCGACCAGACAAATAGTCTACGTTAAAGACTATAATGTTCTGGGTGACCGAGACTACAGAGGATAGCGAATGTTCCGAAAATTTCAAGCCGTCATATACTTGTAAATACTTGAAAGGAATTTAAAAATTTAAAGATTCAACTTTCATATTATAGCATTTCGCAACAGATGTCGTATATTGCGAAATTTCAATGCATCACATTTTGGCAAATACATACTGAGCGGAATGTTTCCACTTTCGCAACTTGTATCTTGCACGGAACTCAAAATCCCTTAAATAGCTGTCAGCGACTATATGGCAAAATGTCAAAAAGGGAATCCATTTTCATATACTGATTTGTCAAACTTTGCTCTAAAATAGATACGGATCAATAGATTGTGGCGTATTACGCATCAATTAAAAACTGTTACACAATATGGACTCTATGTGCACTTGCATACCTGATGTCTTTTTTTTAATCTTAAACTACAACACATCGTGGAGGCAATTCTCCCCGGGGCTAGAATATTTCACTATTAAAAATAAAAAAAACACCTTGTAAAACAGTTGATATAAGCCTTGAGCAGTAATTATAGCATCTTATTGTAGCAATTATTGATTCTTGTTTGATCTTAAATGCGGCTTATATCAACTTTATCGACTACTCTACCGCATTGTTTGTTATTCCCCTTTACTAACTCTTCTGTAAGTGAGATAAATAAGGCGATCAGTCATTTTCAGCCAATAATTACCGTGTTAAGATCCATCACATATAACCTACTGTCAACATCAACAGCGAATAAATATTTTTATTAATATGGTTTATCGTTGACTACGTGATGAGTATGGTTGTATCGCTATGGTGTCAATTTACTTTGGGTTGCTCTAATTTGCAATACACGATCAATCCTCCTTATAGATTTTTTTTTTGTCCGTGGGTAGGCCTATGTGTGCAGATCAAGATGGCTTACCGCTGATGCCCTTGAATGCAATGGCGCCAAGAATAATGTTTAATTATAGATTGTTTTTGTCCGTGGGTAGGCCTATGTGTGCAGATCAAGATGGCTTACCGCTGATGCCCTTCAATGCAATGGCGCCAAGAATAACGTTTAATTATAGATTTTTTTGTCCGTGCGTAAGCCTATGCGCAGATCACCATGGCTTACCGCTGATACCCTTCAATGCAATGGCGTCAAGTATAATGTTTAATTATTACACGCGATTTGCGTGCCATCTAAGTTATAGTTACACGTTCACTGGCATACTAAACTAACGCTGTCGTCTACAATTAGATGCGCTCGAGAACAGACACTAAGCTAATTGACAAACATTTTAAGTTCTAAATCGATGATTAAAGTCAAAACACTAAAAATATTTCGAGAATTTTTTAATTATATGTTCTACTTTCATTTATTAAGAGTTTAACGTCCACTCGACATAAACCAGGTCATTTCGGGACTAACATATGGTTCACTTTTTTTTCAATAATACGCGTGCGCGTAGGGGTCTCTAGCAGTGGGGGGAAACCGGAGAAGCCGGAGAAAACCCAAGAGACTGGACAGGCGACCCTACTCCTTGTCACGTACAATAGGGGAATCGAAACCACGCAAGTTGACTCAAAAACAGACCTTATGTCACAACTCTCACGCGCTAACCATTTGGCCGTCCAACCCCCCTTTTCACTGGTTGTACGTGGAAAGATTATTTAGAGGCGAGAATTAACATAGGCCTAACATTGAAAGTGATTGAAAGATCAGTGGTTGAAAAGTGATTTGAAACTGAGTGAAATTCCATTGCTACCCAAAATAACTTGAACATGATCTCTTAAACTAATCCGAGTTGTCAGCTCATTAAATATCCTCACGCGACAGAATGTAGTTCCAGTTCGTAGAACTGTCAAAATATTGTGAAATTATCTGGATATTCGGGGCTAATTGTAAGATTAAATATATTTTGTGATGATAGAGTCGGGCTTAATTTTGACTTATTATGAAATAAAGGCTTATAAATAGATTGTTTTACTAACAATTGGCGGTTTAATCTTGTCATTATTACAAGAGTTTGTTAGACGTATTAAGATTAGTATAGATCCTGTTCTGGATTTGAAACGTGACGGGGTAAATATGACTGTAATTGATAAAACATGTCCCGCGTGCTTTCATCGTGTCATATTGATATCAGAGCTTAAGTCTAATCTCATCTTCCGCCATTATATAACAAGAACTTATCCTTAGTGGAAGTGAACGTAAAACTCCAAGAACGAAAAAACTTAAATGGAATGGGGTTTAACGTCCTATTGTTCTGCTCCGGATGGGCTAATGAAGACGGTCTTACGTCATACGGCGTGCTATGACGGGAATGTTGCCCGGGGAGTGGCACCATCGCCTACACTTATTTTGAATTCCAGCTGTTAACGGTTGTTTTACGCGCATGTCAATCCGAACAACTATACGGTGTCAAGTCGCCTGTGGGTGGGGGGTGGGGCGATAATCCGGGACAGCGGCGTATCCGATCACCAATCTTCAATCACCAACTACATCTCAATGGTTCATTCAGAAACACGCATGCCAATGCCTTTTTCATACTGTCAGAAATAGGAGGCCCAGGTGCCACTTATGACCAATGACGGCTGGTTTCGAGTAATCCTTGGAATCCACCTAGGGACATTCAAGGCCTGTCCGTGTTTCCCATGGGTATGTTTCCCTTGTGGGGGGAGGGGCGTCAACAAAATGCAGGGATGACCGACATTTTATGAGAATGATGAAAGATTACAATCTATGCCTGTAAAATATAGGTCCATTGTAGTAATTAGGCCTAGTTCGAATTGTTAGCCCATCGTTATCATCGTCTTTCCGTAAATCGAAAGGGGTGGGTGGGGTGGGTAGTCAAATGGTTAGCGCGTGTGCGCTGCATCATAAGGACTGTCATTGAGTCAACTGGCGTGGTTTCGATTCCCCGGTTGTACGTGACAAGGAGTTGGGTCGCCTGTTTAACCTCGTGGGTTTTCCTCTGGTCCACCCACTGCTAAAGACCCCCTACGCGCAAGCGAATTATTGACATAAAATTGAACCATATGCTAGTTCCGAAATGACCTAGTTTGTGTCGAGTGGACATTAAACCCCATTTCTCTCTCTCTTTCCTCCGTAATTAGAATTCATTAACTTTGTACAATTTATTGATTTTTGTTTTTGTACTATTTGCAGGATGATGAACGGTTTTGGGGAAAACTTTTTGGATCTCCAGATCAGCGGCGCTAAAAATAATACACGCGTTTTAGTGACGTCGTAGACACATCTGCTGTTGCTGTGTAGTTATATTTGATGATGTAATATATTGTATGGCAAGGGAGACAATTTGAAAATTAAAAATGGTGTAACAGCTTATCTTGTACTTATTTATTATCAAATCCCGCAAACGAAAGAGCTAATTGACCCAACCCGCCCCACCGCATTGGAACCCTTGCATTCATGGACCACTATTGGTTGTTTTAACTTATGATTGGCTGGTAGCGCATTGGAACCCTTGCATTCATGGATCACTATTGGTTGTTTTAACTTATGATTGGTTGGTAGCGCCTTGGAACCCTTGCATTCATGGACCACTATTGGTTGTTTTAACTTATGATTGGTTGGTAGCGATTATTTCTGAAATTGGATTAAATGTGGATATAAAATGAAAACGATGGGGATTAACGTCCTTATGTTCTGCGCCAACTGGGCTAATGAAGACGGCCATACGTCATACAGTGTGCTATAAGAGAAAGATTGCCCTGGCGGCGGGTTCTTTTACGTGCACGCCATTGTGTACACGGGACTTCGATGGTTCGTACCATCAGAACTGGTAGACGATGTTCCTAGTCAGTCCCCCCGACCTGCACCACTGCAGTGGGGGAAACCGCGCTGGAACATCCTAGAGAACTTTATCGGAAAACTCTGGGATCGAACCTGCAATGTTTTGGGTAATGAGCATTGGCAGCACCCACTGCGCGTACTTGGCAAAAAAGTAGGGTCCTAATTTAAACCTCATTGTAATTTCATTCCATCGAGGGCTTGGTGACGTCCAACTTTTCTCTTCCAACCAGACTAATGAAAACTCATTCGCAACTTAAGGGGGTGGGGTTGGGGGGGGAGGGAGTAACGTCTACTCGACACAAACTAGGAAATTTCGGGACTAACACATGGTTCAATTTTATTTTAATAATTCGCTAGCGCATGTGTCTTTTAGCAGTGGGAGGAAACCGGAGGACCCTGAGAAAACCCACGAGGTTAGACAGGTGACCCTACTCCTTGTCACGTACATGCAGGAAATCGAAACCACACCACTTGACCAAATGACAGACCTTAAAATCACACATGCACGCGTTAACCATTCGGCCACCCAACGCCCCGCTCAAGAACAGAAACGAATTTGGTTGACCGATATTTTAATTCCTAAATCCACCATTTTAGTCGACAACACTAGATACTGCGAGAATTATGAAATGGGGGTTGTTTAGTGGTCTTAGTGTGTGTGATTGGTGTAAACCTAGCCAGAACCGTATAATAAAATAGTAGACTATTTTGGGTTTTTTTTCAATATGGCTGTCATTCAGCAGAGATCTATGGCTAAATTTTTGTCACGGTCGCTCGCTGAGATGTAAATAAGGTTAGGGCACATGATTGTTGGCGATATTGCAGGTCAGAGTTAGGGTAAGCATGGGTCTAGGTCCAGGGTTAGGGTTGGGATTAGCGATAGCCCTGTTTACATCTCGTGACCTATGACGAGAAATTTAGCTGGCCTTATCATTTAACCAGAGATCTATTCTCAAGGATACATGGAAGCCTATTGCGGCCATGTTATAATTTCGACTTTTTGCTCAGCTGTCTTGGAAAAAATTCGCTCATATAGTCATAGCACACTGTACAGCGTACGCCCGCCTTCATTAGACATATTTGTAAAGAAAAGTAACTTGTTTGATAAACAATGCCGTTCGTGGTCTATAATAATATATTGTCATCAGGAATGTTGTCAAATAACGACATGACGTAATTAATGCGATTTAAGTTTGACTGATTGTAAATTAATGTGGATTTGGGTAGATTTTGTGGATTTGGGTAAATTTAGTGAGTTTGGGTAAATTGTGCGGTTGGTTGTAGTCAGTGAACATCGTCGCATTCTGGTCTGAGAGGCGAAGTCGAGAGAGTGGGAAATCAAGTGAGAGAGTATAAGATCGCGGGGATGTTTAAAGGCGAAGAAGCGATTCGTGGGGCGGACGTGTTATTTGGGCGAGATACTCGCATTCTGGTCCGAGGGGAGAAGTCGAGGGAGAGAGTGTGAGAACGAGAGGAATTTCAAAGCAAGCGGGTCGATGGACGGAAGTGTTCTTTGGGCGCCATCGTCTGGTCTTGTTTCTTCGTGTTCTCACACCCGCCCTCGACTTCTCGCTCTCGCCTTTTGGTCGTCGACTTCTAAACGTATCACATGGCTGCAACAGGCTTCCATATATCTGTGTGCAGAATGCTGGAGACTGTCATGCGTCAATCACATGGGCAAACCTCACTTGAAAATCCCGGGGAACCTTTCAGCTGAGCAACTTGGCATTATTCTAGTGAATGTAATGATCGATCGATATTTCTGTCATTAAAACGTTTAGAACTATTGAGGCCAATTTTGCTTGTAATAAGGTTGAACAACGTTATATGAAATGTTAGGAGAACGCTAGATCGGAGAGGGTCCTGCACATGTTAGCACATAATATGACGTCACATGTGGATTGTGGGTTAGGGTTAGGAGCTGCAGATTTCATCAGTGCTTATGTGAAGTCTTAACCTCTCCCCCAAATTCTTAAACCTAACGCACAATCCGCATATGCCGTCATATGTGCAGGACCGTCTCCGATCTAGTGTTCCCCGAAATGCTCATGATAGACGTTTCCAACTAGCAATGTTAATCGAACTAAATTGGACAGCGGTACAACTCATCAATAAACTATGTTGTAAGAATTCTATAGAAGTTATAATCAGTCCTGTTTTACGATATCGTGTTTTTGGCATGTAAAGGTACCTATAATCACATTTTATTATATCGACAACAAAATCAGGTTGCCGGAAGCGATAGAGCATCGAGTGGATGTTCTTTTATTAAAGCAAACTTCAAAAGTAAATTTCACGTCAAAGAATCCAACGTACCAAAGTAGATTACTTGTTTTGTCTATTATTTAATGAACAAAACCACTTCAAAAGAAATAAAAGAAAGTCGCTTATCAAAACAATAACAATAATACCATATGAACCAGGAAATATGCCACTCGGCAAACATCGGCATACTCCGGTATCCTACATCTAGCCTCGGCTGTATTACGGTGAGGGAGAGAGAGGGCGAGAGAGAGAGAGATGGGTTTTAACGTCCACTCGACATCAACTAGGTCATTTCGTTACTAATATATGGTTCACTTTTATTTCAATAATTCGCTTTCGCGTAGGGGTCTTTAGCAATGAGAGGAAACTGGAGAACTCGGAGAAAACCCTCGTGGGTTGGTCTCCTTGTCACGAACAACCAGGGATTCGAAACCTCAACGTCAGACCTTATGATATAACACGCACACGGTAACCATCCCCCCACACTCTTATATGACGGTAAGGGATATGTACCTACGCTTATACAATTGCGATGTGGCTACCGGTTTACTTAACAGGAAAACTTGCCGCTTTTAGAAAAAAATTCTCAAAACTGCGTCGTTTGAAGAGTTTGTAGAGTTTTGATTCCAAATGTGTCTTTTATTTAAAGAAAATCGGATAAACTTGAAAGATAAACAACTTTAGACATTGAAAGCTTTGAAGAATAAAACACTCTTCTCAGTCGTTTTCATAGACGACGCCATTTGTAATCCTGAAACTTGAAAGTAGTTCCAATGACGTAATTCGTCATACAGTCGAGGCCAAAGTTAGGGTACGGTCTGCTGAGATTTGTCGAGTGGAACCAGGAATCGGTAAGCCGCCATCTTGGAATCGTGACTTCATACGAAAAAAATCGAAGTCTTTTCATCAATGCGAATTATACAAGAAAAAATTCTGCCCAGTTTGATGTTCATCGAACATGGATTCGCGGGCCTTAGGATTGTTTTAAAAGAGCGTCGGTCCAAGAAGAAGTACAACAAGAGGAGTATGGGGGACCAGCTGCTGGTTCAACTCATAATAAACGAACCCACTGACCGGCATGTTAAGTTCTTAATTGGCTATTTTAGTCGAAAACATTAAGTATACATGTATTTCGAGAATATCGAGAAGTATATTTTCTGCTTTTCTTTAATAAAACTGAACAGGTTTAATTAGTCTTTTTGTGTATAACTGGGCTAGGATCGTATTACAAAACAGTGTACTAATTGTTGGATATGGCGGCCATTTAGGGAAGAGATCTATTCTCGAAGTATAGTAGATAGTCCTCTGTGTGCCGAATGGTTCAACTCGACTATTTGTAGTGGCTATATTTAGCCGGAGTGCGATATATCAACACCATTTAATATCATTCCACGGTCTCTAATTGTATTAGGCTCTTATTACAACTGCCTTCGCCTGGACACCAGTGGCTAAACTTATAGTCACAATTAAATTCCGTCTCCATGACAACGATCTAATTGCATAATTAGCAAGACTAATTAGCCATTTTAAAGATAATTAACCCATTTTGGCATGAAATCAGAGAAAGCCTGTTATATCTAATTAAGTATTTGTGTCAGTGATTTCTATAATTTTGTTGATTCATTTGGTGTTTCCACTGAGTAACGATGTCCAAACACGACAACTTAAAGACAGTCCGTCAGATAGAATAATTTACGATGGTGTGGCGACAATCCCATTCAGCATACAGAAAACTACCTACTTCGAGAATAGATCTCTGCCCTAAATGGCCGCCATATACAACCATTAGTATACTATTTTGTGAAATGAAATGAAATGAAAATGAAATGAAATGGAGTTTAACGTCCTACTGTTTTGCTCCTAACCTGGGCTAATGAAGACGGGCATACGCCATACAGTGTGCCATGAGGGAAATTTTGCCCGGACAGCGGCACTACGGCCTACTCTTATATCGAATTCCAACTGCCAAGGGATCTTTTACGTGCACGCCAATGTGTACACGGGACCTCGGTTTTTCGTCCTATCCGAACGACTAGACAGCTTTCCTTGTCAGCCCCTCCGTCCTGCATCACTGACAAGGGAGAACCACGCCGGAAAATCTGGATGAACTTTCTCGGCCAATGCAGGGATCGAACACCCGACCTCCAGGCTAGCGAGCTAGCGTCCTACCCACTTAGCCACGTGATCCCCTATACTATTTTGTAATGCGGTTCTAGTCCGGTTCACATTTGTTATACACATAATATTACCCTCGTAATATACTTAGT